GAGCCAATAGGGCTAATTCTAACCTTGTGTGTGGGGATAATTCTGACCGTAACCATGGGGATACTTCACGGTACCCCATTACCTCTGTAGCTTAGCAGCTGTGTGAATTTTAGGGGGTCTACAACCTTGCCCCTCAGCTTTCTAATCTGTACAGACACTTGTTTAGGCAGCGGCTATGATCTGAAAATGTGGGTGCTTTATCAACTGAAATGTCAAGGACATTTCAAATGTTAAGAGCAATTTCTGGCTTAGCACCAGTAGCACAGTGGTTACCACATACACCAAAGGTGGCGGGTTCGAACCCAACCTGGGCCAGCTAAACTGCAACAAAAAATAGCCAGGCACAGGCACCTGTAGTCCCAGCTACTTGGGAGGCTAAGGCAAGAGAATTGCTTAAGTCCAAGAGTTTGAGGTTGCTGTGAGCTGTAACGCCACAGCACTCTATTGAGGGTAACATAGTGAGACTCTGCTTCAAAAAAAAAAAAAAAGAGCAATTTCTATGTCTACATGTTTATCAAAACCAAGTGTCTTAGCCAAATAAAGCTTGTAGCTTTAAAATAGCTGACCTGGCTTGGTGCCTGCCTGTAGCTTAAGTGGCGCCAGCCACATACACCTGAGCTGACGAGTTCGAATCCAACCTGGACCCACCAAACAATGATGGCTACAACCAAAAAACAGCCAGACACTGTGGCAGGTGCCTGTAGTCCCAGCTACTTGGGAGGCGGAGGCAGGAGAATCGCTTGAGCCCAGGAGTTTGAGGTTGCTGAGCTGTGATGCCTCTACTCAGGGCAACAGCTTGAGGCTCTGTCTCCAAAAATAGTAATAATAATAATAATAAAATATCTGACCTAATTTCAGCTTAAAATTAGATCAACTTACAACAGGTTTCCTAAGCAGTATTTATTGGTATGGGGGGGTCATACCTTCTTCAGAATGAGAAAATAAACTCCATACTTGAGAATACGCAGTCCACAATATAAAGTCAAGGACAGATGGTATCGTGACCATTTTCATTTAATGCCAAGCTTTACTTTAAAATAAGGTGTTTAAAACCTCTGTATATGTTCTCACTTTGGCAGCACATATACTAAAACTGGAACAAGACAGAGAAAGATTAGCACGGCCGCTGCACAAGGATGGAACGCAAATTCATGAAGTGTTCCATATTTTTAAAAAAAAGTGTTTAAGACCTCTGTATAACTGAACCGATTCTATTTAACATGCTCATTCGTAGGTACCATACTTGATGTGAAAAAAAAAATCGTGAGGGGCTGGAAACCACGTCACTCAAGGCCTCTGGGGAGACTATGGGGTCAACCAAATTGCAGAGTAGTGTTTAAGGGGTTAAACTTTTTTTCCTTTCAACACTCGGGATGGGGACTGTTTTTCTATTTAAAAGAAACCTTAAAAAAATACTTAAACTTTTTTTTTTGAGACAGAGTCTCAAGCCGTCACCCTGAGTGCTGTGATGTCACAGCTCACATCAACCTCAACCTAGCCACTGAGCTGAGGCAAGAGCAATGCTTAAGCCCAAGAGATTGAGGTTGCTGTGAGCTATGATGTCACAGCACTCTTCCCAGGGTGAAGGCCTAAGACTCTGTCTCAAATAATAATAATAATCACTAAAGATTACTTCAGGGATCAGGCTGTGCCCCTTTGTATTACATCTAATATGGGAAGAATATTAAGAAAATGTGAGGACATCTATAAACTCTGCATTTCCCTCCAGTGTTAAACATCAACCAACATTCCAGGGTGGGTTGAGCAACACCCTCCTAAGTTAAACACAGACCACAATCTTTCAGGAGTGCTCTACTGTGGAAGACTGCATTTTGTTCTGCAAGGCTCATTTACAAGCATTAGTTCGTTATCAAGAAGGGTCAGAGAGGTTGTGTCAGCTGGATGCAAAGCAAACTACTTAAAATCTATGAGTTTTAACTGTGTACTGCAAAAGATGGAATCAGAGGGCAGGAAAACTTAAATACTGTGCTACAAATACTTCAGTGTTTAAAGGACTCAAACCAGAATTCAAAATGGGGCGGTGCCTATGACTCAAAGGGGGAGGGTGCCGGCCCATATACCAGAGGTGGCAGGTTCAAATCTAGCCCCTGGCCAAAAACTGCAAATAAAAACAACAAAAAAAGCAAAAAAAAAAAAAAAAAAAATTCAAAATGATGACATGTTAAAACAGCTCCTTGAGAGAAGAAAAATCAAGACCATACACATAGAAATAATATCCCCAAAGCAGCATTTATTTACCCATTGAATTCCAAAACATTTATTTTAGAAGTCTGGCATTTCATAATCACCCATCTTGATTGACATGGGCTGACACACATGGTGCTGTCAGATACACAAGGACAATAGCCAAAGAGTTACAAAAAATAAATCCATGATTCTTAAACAATCGCAACCAAAAAAAAAAGTTACAAGTATCAAAACTTTAGATGCATTGCATTGAAAAGAAGGTCTGTGCACATCATAATTTAAAGAGGCAAAACAAGGCGCTACTGAAACCTCACGTTAACAGTTTATTATAAAGCTGATGGAAAGGAGCAAGTTGTCTCTCTGTATCAGCTTCCCTTAACAGTTTTCCATTAGCTGAAGAAAGAGGTGGGAGGGGTGAATTCGGTTTTTTTTTTTTTTGCATGCACAAGATGTACTGCTTAACAAAACACTATCAGCTTGTTTTAAATATCAAGGGTAGCCTGTGTTGGCTAATTCTCCTTTCTAATCTCCCCCATTACTTTCACCTGGATTTCCCTAATCAGCAGGCATAGTAAAATGCCTCATTCACTTCTCTGCACAATTCAAAAAGGGAGCTCCTGTGGGCTCAAAGCAACCATGAATCCAGCAATGCCCAAGATTTATCTGAAACTGCTTTCCAAGGGACAGGAGAGCAGATCTGAGTAGCTGTGCTGCCAATACAGATAGGTTTAGCACTAGATATTTAGTGATTGTGGCAAGGAAGAATTGGTGATGATGGGATGGTGGGTGAAGGAAGGGTGAGGGACTTGAAGGCTTTTCAGTTGCCCTCTCCTGCTTCTTCATCCTGCTGGTCGCTTGTCCAGAGGGTGAGGTTGTCTCGCAGCAATTGCATGATGAGTGTGGAGTCCTTATAGGAATCCTCGTTTAGTGTGTCCAGCTCAGCTATCGCATCATCGAAGGCTTGTTTGGCTAAGAGGCAGGCTTGCTCAGGTGCATTCTGGATCTCATAGTAGAACACAGAGAAGTTGAGGGCCAGGCCCAGCCGGATGGGATGTGTGGGCTGCATTTGCTCTTTGCTGATTTCAAAGGCTTCCTTGTAGGCAGCTTCAGAAGCTTCCACCACACTGTTTTTCTTCTCCCCAGAAGCTACCTCTGCCAAGTAGCGATAGTAATCACCTTTCATTTTCAGGTAAAATACCTTGCTCTCGTACTGGAAATCATTGCAGTTCTTGATGAGGAACTTGTCAAGCAGAGCCAGGACATCATTGCAAACTGTCTCCAGCTCCTTCTCAATCTTCTCCCGGTAAGCTTTAACTTTCTCCAATTTCTTTTCATTTCCATCAGCCATGGTTTTCTGCTCAATGCTGCTAATGACCCTCCAGGAAGATCGCCTGGCACCAACTACATTCTTGTAGGCCACAGAGAGGAGATTTCGATCTTCATTGGAAAGAGGTTCATTCAACTCTGTCACCTGCAAAACCCAAAAAGAAAAATATTGAAAGCAAAATCTGAAAATCTTGGAAAGAACATTCTCTTCCATATAATCAACAATCCTTCTCAAAAAAAGAATTATGGGGGGGGAGGGGGCTTGGCTCAAGGAATAGGGTGCCGGCCCCATACACCAGAAGTGGCAGGTTCAAACCTGGCCCCGGCCAAAAAAACCTGCAACAACAACAAAACAAGATTATGAACCAGTTACTAGAGAATAAACATCACTCATGGACAAAACCAACACAGACAAGGATCCTATCAAAAGGAAGACACTAGTCTAATAGAAGAGATAAATACTTAGAACTCAAAACAGGAAGTGATATGAGCTGGAGAAATTCATAATTCAAGTCTTTTTTTTTTTTTTGAGACAGAGCCTCAAGCTGTCCCCCCTGGGTAGAGTGCCATGGCATCACGCTCACAGCAACCTCCATCCGGGGCTCAAGCGAGTCTCCTGCCTCTGCCTCCCAAGTAGCTGGGACCACAGGCGCCCGCCACAGCACCCGGCTATTTTTTGGTTGCAGCCGTCATTGTTGTTTGGCGGGTCCGGGCTGGGGATTCGAACCCGCCACCTTAGGTGTATGTGGCTGGCGTCTTAGCCGGTTGAGCTATCGGCGCCGAGCCCATAATTCAAGTCTTAATGATGCTGCTTTCCTACTGGTAGAGGAATGCAGATGGTCAAGAAAAGACTGGTAGTACGAGGTGGTAGTATGTCATGGTAGAGAAGGAAACCTTGAGCCTATTCTGCAAAAGATACTCTGAACAAGAAGATTACACAATCTCTTTGTCAAATATTCAAAAACAAGAGATTGGAATACTCTTCTGGATTCTACTTCCAGCTTTATACTCTCAAGAGAACCAATCACTCCTCAAATATATATTAACAAATGGACAGGAGCTTCAGATAAGATCAAACATCACACAGACCTAGTGGCCAGAGCTTTGCTCTATGTGGTCACACATGGAACTCCACTGTTACTCCCCCCAAACCAGAAGCAAGAATAATGCATTAGTGGAAGGAAGCACAGCTACTCAGCACCAGCTTTACTCTGATTACCTGACAGGAAACCCTGACTGACCACCAAGGACAAAAGCACCAATCATCCCAGATGGAAGAGTGAAAATTTCATGCTCTAAGATCAGTGGTTCTCAACCTTCATAATGCCGCGACCCTTTAATGCAGTTCCTCATGTTGTCACCACAACATGAGGAACTGCATTAAAGGGTCGCGGCATTAGGAAGGTTGAGAACCACTGCTCTAGATTCTCCTAGTTCTCCATGCCAACTACAAGTGCACTGGCTATGTCGTTAGTAGAAATAGCGCTAGACTTTCTCTTTTTTTTTTTGAGACAGCCTCAAGCTGTCACCCTGGGTAGAGTGCTATGACATCACAGCTCACAGCAACCTCTAACTCCTGAGCTTAAGCGATTCTCTTGCCTCAGCCTCCCAAGTAGCTGGGACTACAGGCGCCCGCCACAATGCCCAGCTACTTTTTGGTTGAGTAGTCATTATTGTTTGGCAGGCCTGGGCTGGATTCAAACCTGCCAGCTCTGGTGTATGTGGCTGGCGCCTTAGCCACTGAGCTACAGGCACGGAGCCAGCACTAGACTTTCTGATGGGTTGAAAGATATGTGGTGCCCTCACCCCAGTTACCTGTGAATGTGACCTTATTTGGAAATAGGGTCTTAGCTGTATGTAATTAATTAAGATGCAATCATCCTGGATTAGGGTGTGCCCCAAACTCAATGGCTGGTACCCTTATAAGGAGAATTAGAGACTCACACCCAAGGAGAACACCATGTAACAATGGAGGCAGACTGTAACTGTGCAAACCAAGGAATACCAAGGGGTGCTGGAAGCCACTAGTAGCTGAGAGAGAGACAAGGAAGGGTTCTTCCATAGAGCCTCTGGAGGGAGGATGGCCCTGCCAACACCTCATTTTCAGACTTCCAGCCTCCAGAACTATGAGAGAATATAGTTCTGTTATTTTAAGTTACCTGGTTTGTGGTTACTGGTTCAGCATCCCTGGATAATACACAGAATTACAATCAGAAAACCATGGTCTGGGCACAAGCAGAGCCACTAATTTGCGAAGTTGACCTAGGACATTTCACAAGCTTTCAAAAGAGCCTTTATCTTCCTCTACAAAATAGAAGCATTCCTTAATATGACCTACTGGTGAAGGTCTTTAATTGTAAAAAGGAAAAAAGAAACCAAACTAAAGCACTTCAGGAAACCATAAAATACTAAACAGAAAAGGTTTTACTTAAACCAAACTATAAGGACAGAACCGCCACCAGTGAAGGGAAAAAGCCAAGGTCAACAGTGAAAGTTATCGACAGCATATTCAGACAAACTTAAAATGAACTGAGATGGCTGGGCTGTGCAGAAACAGAAATTTTATTTTACTTTTTTTTTTTTTTGAGACTGAGTCTCAGTCAGTCAACCTGGGTAAAGTACTGTGCCATCAGCATA